AAGTCTTATTAGAATCAAGTCAAGAAGATCGATAATTTCATATGGATTACATAAATATTCACTTGATTGTGTTCGTGTGTCCTATAAAATGGTGACAGACAAACAGAATATGAAAAAAGATGCAACAAATTGAAAGTTGTACAAACCAAATCTACGTAGCTTGATTCTTGGCTTTTATTTAACCCAACCATCCCACAATGTAGACACATTTTTGTAGACCTTTTTAACACACTTGTGCCCCCTGAAGAAATGTCCCCCTGACCAGAAGTCAGCTGATCAAGACTATCGCTGCCCTTGTTAGCACAAATGTATGGTTTTTGAAACTCCTTCGGGGGTGGCTAAGTTTGTGGAGTAGGTGAACGCGGAAATCAAATGTCACGAATTCAAATCCCCTGCCAACACTTCCTCAGTCGAGCCGGTTGCATCTGGCTTGCCTAGTGCAGTTTACCTCTCTTGTGTGGTTGGCGAACTGCTGCACATAGAGCGGGGTTTACCTAGTGTGTACTCACAGTGGTCGAGCCTCCGCCCCTTCGGGGTGGTCGGAGCTCCGCGACGAGTAGCAGTTACGGTTTCCTACGTCAACAAAAAAAAAAAAAAAAAAAATCTTGTGAATTCTGTCATAATTAATACACTAGGAAAAATTGTTTTAGTGGGAATAATTTTCTCCACATTGTATGTTTCCTTCTTCGGAATTCAAGAATGTTGATGTCTCGTCCTAGCACAAAATAGAGTCTCCAATTAAGTTGATTAATTTTTAAAATAATTTTAGTAGCAAGTTCACATACACAGTATTTATGTGTGTTGGAGTTCCTTCTTCAAAAAGGCAAAACAATCATTAGTATTATTTATTGATAAAAATAGATTTAGAGATGAAATCAGTCGTAAAATTATTTTGTTGATAAATATTGAGAATGACGTGGATTTTAAATTAACATTACAAAACCTTTATTTGGTAGCCATGAGGAAAATCTCCGATTCCTTGAAATTTTCTACCCCAATGATCAATTCTTGATATATTCAAAATCTAGATGTTCAAAAAATATATAAATAAACATATTACGTTACGAACTTACTGATCAAGAAAAACGTTAATATCAAGTGACACCTTTTCTCAAGAATATTGGTAGAATTAGGTGGTTGAATTGTCGTAGTTGGGGTTCGGTGTTTGTGCTTTTACATTTGAAATTGGTAGCTCAATAGCGGTTGAATACCAAGTGAGATACAATCATTTCTGAATCTCTTTAATAGACTCAAAATGTGATGTAAGCCGATAATAGATGTTAGTTATAACTTATATACTAACCCCCACAAAAGAGGACCGTAATCTGTTCACAATAAATATGGTCTCAAAATAACGTTTGCATGCTCGATTCAAATGAGTCATAAACTGAACGTATTGCGTAGTTTTAGCTCAAATCTTCACTCTTCAAACCGTCAAAATTCAATTGCTACTTGATAAGGAAAACAATAAAAAGTGTAACAAACTTATTAAACAGTTAACTGAATTAGAAGAAGTACAAAAAAATACAAATTGCAGCCGGGGCCTATGTTTCAACACAGTGTCCTTAAAGCAATATTTTCCCCCTCACCGAAGTAATTCGAGCGCTTGCTTTCCAGGATACAGCCGCACGAACTGCAGCTGCGCAGTCGAACTGAAAAAGTGTCCCGGAACG